TGATGATTTAGTTGATGATTTTGCATCAAAAAAAGCTAGAAGAATGGCATTGTTTAGATAGAAAAAGAATAGATTAATGTATATATTTTATATTATGACAAAAGTTTATCATAGAAACATATAAATTATTTTCAGATTATTAAAAAGGGCCTTGTTTTTTTTTCTGAACAGGGTCTCTAAAAAGTTTGAGACGGCCCTGAAGAGCAACATCCAGTTTTGATATCAGGAATGACAATCATATAATGGGAGCTAATGGTTTACTTCTATCGTGTGTATCTACTTTCTTTGTTTTTGTTTTCTCTATTGCAGCATCATCTTCTGCGATAAGCTTCTTGTTTTCTAGCTTTATCATAGTCTTGCTTCCAGAGAGTTTATAATCTGGGTAAGACTCAAGCAGTGATGATTGTCTTTGTACATTTAGGGAAGACAATATGTATTACTTCTATATAATGTTACTACTATGTATTAATGAAGGATTTCTTAAACAACTTACTTTAAAGGTCCTCTGATATCACTCTGTCCCGCCTCAACATTACCTCTAGGTCTGGGCATTCGGGTAGTCGGGTCGGATTCGGGTCAGGTCCTTTCGGGTCCGGGTCTTTCGGGTCTAGAAATTTAGGGTCCGATAGGGTAATTTCAAATTTTCGGTTTCGGTTCGGTTCGGGTCGTACCGGGTCCGGGTCGGGTCGGGTCTTAGATAGTTGGACCCATTCGGGTAATTAGAATTTATCGGTTCGGATTCGGTTCGGTTTCGGGTCGGGTTCGGTTCGGGTTCGACCTAAAAAATACCTAAATATAAAAAAAAAAATCTGAAAATACTTATATATGCGAAAATATTCAAAATTTTATTCAAAATTTGTGTTTTTATTATATTAAAATGTGTATATATATTAAACTATGCGAGATACAACAACAATTCGTTATCTCCTAGTGGTTGACCCCCTTACTCTCTATAGAAACAACCCATCTTCGGGTACCCATCGGGTTTCGGGTTCGGTCCGGGTCGGGTCCAAGACCCGCGGGTCCTCCACAACAAGACCCGATAGGGTAATTTGCTCGGGTCGATTCCTACCCGGACCGGGTTTTTTCGGGTCGGTTTCGGTCGGGTCTTCGGGTCCGGGTAAAATGCCCAGGCCTAATTACCTCCTTGAGAATATAAATCACAATCAGAATGTGGTATAAACATAGCTCTATATTCTCGAGCATAAAAACAGAGCAACCTGTTTTGGGAATAGAGCAACCTGTTTTGGAAACAGAGCAACCTGTTTTGGAAACAGGGCAACCTTTAAGTAACAGAAAACAGATTCCTTTGGAGACGTCTTAAACTAACTTACGCTTACTTTCAAATCAATTTCTTACTTTTCGTATTTACCAGTTCCTATACTCAGGTTCACTACAAATTTCTAGTTACCATCTCTGGTCGGAACAATCACATGTCGGAAAATTTTGGTATATTCAAAGACTATATAGATCAGAGTATACAAGTGTGAGAAAAACGAACGTGTGTATGTAGTAAAGCCATTACATAGGCTTATTGTATCTTATCTAACCTGCAGAGAAGTAGAACACTACGCCAACTTTGAGCTTAAAAGAAAGAAAACTCAAAGATCATGAATAACACCTTCAATGACTTTCTGAGCTGTATCTCGAATACTCAAAAGGTTTGTTTTTATCTCGTTGCACAATCTTCCTTCCACAAGCCGCACTGGTAACCACATCTTTGGCTTAACATCTACAGTGTATGCAAGCGTCGTCGGAAAATCTTTGAACTGCAAATCCAAAGCCTCCCCTTGAATCCCTTTGTCTAACTGTGTAATAAACAAAAGAAAACAGAGAAGGATTAAAAAACAGAACCTCAAGTAACAAAGTGATATCATATGGTATAATATTTACTTGTTCAATGGACCATTTGCCTTCAAATAACTGGAAATCTCCTTCGACCATCTTAAAGTCGATTTCACGTCTCCTCCCATTTGGTAGAATCTCAAGCTCCTTCTCGAAACAGTCTAGAACAGCTTTGGCATTGAACTTGAGACCCAATGCTAAGTTCTGCTGCCCCATCTGTTGAAAGAAACACAAACCTGAAAAAATGAGACTGTTTTTTTCCAACATAACAAACGAAACCAAACTCGAATATACTAATAATGGTAAGCACAACACTTCGAAAAGATTCAACCCAAAAACTCGAATTCATACTCCCATGTAGGTATTAACCGAACCCAAACTGGTACCCGAAATTCTAAAAAACCAAAAAATCCAACCCACGATAACTTAAAACATATATAAAAAGTTCTGAAATACTCAACTTTTTGGTCTGGTCATAAAAGTACCCAAACTCAAAGTGTTATTAACCGAGCCCAAAGTGAATATGAATCCAAAATGGGTATTAGACAGAGTTATGAAACTATCCACAGACCCGAACATATATAAAACCCGAACATATATTACATTTTTAAGACGCTCAACCCGGAAAACCTGATTCAAACCCAAATAGGTACCCGAACTCCACAATTAGTTGTCTCCATTAACTTTTTTTGAGTAATTGCCTCAAGGGCCCTTATTTGAAAACTTTAAAGCTCAAATGTCCTCACTTTTTTCTTTTAATTTTATATGTCAAACGAAAAATCATAAAATTAAATTGAAAACGTCAATATTTTTTATTTCATTTATAGAATTTTATAAAAAAATTTCAAAAATCAAAAAACTGTTTTTTCATATTTTTCCGAAAATCACCAAAAATGATTAAAAAACGGGTTTAAAATATTTTTTTGACGAATTTGAAACATATAGAATTTAAATATTTTACCCATGGGTTCACNAATTAAATTGAAAACGTCAATATTTTTTATTTCATTTATAGAATTTTATAAAAAAATTTCAAAAATCAAAAAACTGTTTTTTCATATTTTTCCGAAAATCACCAAAAATGATTAAAAAACGGGTTTAAAATATTTTTTTGACGAATTTGAAACATATAGAATTTAAATATTTTACCCATGGGTTCACTGATCCATAGGGTGGGTTTTTGTTTAGTTTTGATCGCTTGGAAATGATTTATTTGGGATTTTCATTAAATGATGAAGGGTATTAAGATTAGTGGAGGATATAAGTGATTTAAATTTTTTGAATAAGGGCGTTTGAGGTGATGACTCACTTTTTTTTGGCTTAACAATAGTAAACAATATATCACCCATTTTAACCCTTTTGAGTGTTTTCTAAAGCTCTAAGCACCAAGTTGGATATAATCAACAGTACAAATCTATCTAACCTATTAAAAATGTAATGTGCTAATAACAAAATTAAAAACTTTTCGAAAAAATCAAGAACCTGGAAAAGCCGAGCACGGTTCCCTTCCTTCTCGACCAACTCGCTAACGACAAGGCCCGGTATGAAATCCGACAGCTTCTCGTAATCCGTCAAGACACTCCACACGGCATCTAAGCTCGCTTCCATACCAATCTTCGAACGGATACGCCGCGAGCTCTTCTCGAGCTTCTTCACCTCAATGAGAACCCCATCGTCGCCTACTACCAATTCCTCCGTCTTCCCATCTGTAAAGTAATCAATCAAATAATCATCTTCATCGGTTTCAGTCTCATCGTCGTTACAATAATTATCATTGTCGCCAAGTCGACAGGTGAAACATCTACGTGAGGAAGAAGCTAGAAGTAATGTAGAGGAAGGTGGAAAGTAGGATAAGGTTACGTTGGTAGGGTGGAATTTTCTAGTGGGAGAATGGGAAATTGATACGCCGGAGGAGGTGGTGGCTAACGCGGCGGCGCGTGGGTGGCGAAAGGCGGAGGATAAGTCTAATAATTGCATTGTTTGGAGATCTGGAAGAGTCTAAAAGCAGGCTTGCTATGAACTATAGGCTTTTATTTGGGCCTCTTTCTATTCTTACAGTAGGCCCATGTAACAAATTTAAATATATAATTTGTTTTCTCACAAAACGGAACGGCGTAGAATGTAAAAATTAGTACAAATAAACAGAATCCAAAAATTCGAACTAGCTCGACTTGATACAGTTGAATCTGTATCAAACCAAATCTACCAAATATGTTTTGTTCTACGATATTTCGAATTATGTGTTTTGTTCGAACCAAATCTCAACTCGAACCAAAATGGATATCCGGAAAACCTAAAAAATTAAAATCCAAAAAAATCCATACCGAATCTGAGCTCAATCTCGAATTAGTATAAAAAATACACTAAAATATTATTGAGTACTTAAAACAAATATCTATTACATATGTATTTTTAGTATTAGGTCAATATTTGATGTTCTTATGTTTTAACAACTGCATTTGAGTTTCAGTTAAAAATATGTTTGCTTCTAAAATTTAAACAAGGTTATTATATTTTGAATTTTAAATAATGTTTCTTACATTCATAGAATTGTTACTTGTTAGTTTTAACTTTTTATATTTTCTTTTTCTTAACATTACTTTTTATGAGCAATCTTAACATTTACTTTCTTATCAAAATCTATGTGATGCATAAGGATAAGATCAGTTTCAATTTTTGTTCTTTTACAACAAGTTCATTAATGATAAGAGCAGAAACGTGTCAAGGTTACATGATGGAGTTTCTTAATATGACAAGTTGTGGTTCTTTGATTCTGGATAAGAGTTGGGTTGGATTAAGCATGTTAATTAAAGAGCTTATTCCCGTCAAAGCTTGAGACTCGACAAGTTGTGGTTCTTTGTTATATGTCGTTTCTGAAGTGTATGATTTCGTTTTTAAAGACAAGGTGTTGTAGTTCTATACCGATTTAAGATTGTTATAGTTCCATGATTACATATGTTTCATTCATATTGTAGTTCCACCATTATAAAGTTGTCGGACATGTAGTTCATGAAACAAAATGCATATTTAAATTTCTAAAACACATGTACTTTTGGGTAATTTATAGAAATGTGGATAACCAAAACCCAGTTTAGATCACAACTTGAAAATCAAATGAGTTCAATCGAATTTAGGATGTGTAACCAAACCTAAAACAAACTTGACTAAACCCTAACCTAGACCGACTCGTACTTTTATAATATTTGAATGAAACTGATTTTAATAAACTTGAAAACCCAAAACCCTGTTAGAACCGAACCGACCCGAATAATCACCCCATTATCCATGCCTAGTAAAAACCTTTCAAATTACAAGCAAATATGTTTTCTCAAATCAACTATTTTTCAAATTAAATTCATAATCTTTACTCTCCATATTAAGACCGTCCTTATTAATGAAGACCAATATTCTGTTTTTTTTTAAGATAACTAGCAATATAACATAACTATATACCATAATTTATGATAAAGAAAATATAGTTTTTTCACCATTAAATTACAAAAAAACCCAAATAATCATTCCTAAAATTACATTCTAACTTAGCTACAAATTGATTGAAAAAATCCTAATTAATCAAATGTTTCATTAACCTGAAGCCAGCAGAAAAGTAAATGCATAATTATTTTATTCTTTTGACAAAATATATTTTTTATGTTGAAATGATACTGTATAGATTTTTTATAAATCTAAAACTTGAAAATAAAAATGACGATTTTTTAATTAGATAGAAGTTTTTTTTTTTTTTTTTGCAACTGTGATATATTAAATTAGATAGAAGTTTATTCTGCAAACTTTTACAAAAATCAAGTTGATATTCTATTTTTGTTTTGAAAGCTTTTATTTCATTTTTATCTAGATTGGTCTTGTATTAATAATTTCATTAAAATCATACTAATATATTTGTTGTGTGTTTTTGTAACACATGATGTCCCTGCTAAAATATTTTTGAAGTGGTACATTTACTCTCCTACTATAACATTATTATTAAAAAAGATAAAAGTTTTTTTTTTGTGTGAACAATGCCGAAATTACACCCACTACAAATTATTTTACTTCGCTAAACTACCATTGGATATATGCATTACCAAACAAAAAATATACTATTTCTTGATTCAAAGGAGATGTTGGGAAAACCAATTGACTGTGTGTTTAGGTTGATGATCTTCAGACAATTACGATTATCAAGAGGAAACCTTCATAAACATCATTAACGGATCTCTGATAAGAGAACAATGAAGGAGTTTTACCTAAACAAAAGAATATATGTATATATACACCATATGTTTTATGATCTACACAAAAAACGATCTCATATAAAGCAAAAACATCCGAGTAGTAGAACATAAAGCATGAGAGTCAAAGTTTAATTGTAACTTTTGGATCTCAGAATCTTGAAAACATAGGCAAAAGCTTATAACAAATGAAGGAATCGGATTAAAAATAAATAACCATAAGAGAAATAGATTTGAGTATACCTTCAAGGGTTTGATCTTGAGTTCTAATGGACATTTTCTCTTCGTCTAGTTGTCAAAGCTCTCAGATGCTTTTGAAGATCTCAAGACTAAATATTTCTTAAATGTTATAAAGTTGGTCTATATAATATGTGTATATATAGAGACAAATGATCACGGCCTGTAGGCAGATGCCAACTATTAACTATGGGATCTAACGTTAACCAAAAAAACAAAACTATAGCATATACTTCTAATTTAATCCGGAAAATATATTGCCTAACCCAATAATTAACTTTTTTTTTTGAAAAAGGCTTATAAATAGTATTTTTTCAAAGATGATTATTCTTTTATCAATAATATATGATACGTGGATTTAAACTCAAATTATAAAAGAACTAGATTATAACTCACACATCTGCATGCGGATACATTTTCGATTTTAGAATAATTTATATTTAGTTATTATGAAAATTGATAAAATTTTATTATTACAATATGGTGTTTTATATTATATAATTTATTATTTCTTGTTCGATATTATTAATTAACTACAATAACATATGTTAATATATAATTTATTTGTAATTTAATTTTTTATATAAACTAATATATATAAGAAATAAATAAAATAATTATCTATTTTAACCTGCTTCATTAAATTTTTGATATTTTCTAATGAAATCGATTTTTTTTTTTATATTTTTCATAGATTAGAAATTATTTTAATGAATTTAAGAATCTATTCATCTTATTTAATTTACAAACATAAAACATCAACTGTAAATTACAAAAAATCATATAATTAAATAATAATATAATTTTGTACTTTTACTTTATTTTAAATTTAAATTTTTATTTTTCTAATGTTTATATTCTAACTTTGTGAATTAAAATCATTTCATGATGATTTTTTTTTATTTAGAACTTAAGTAATATTATTTATAATATTATAATAATTATAATTACTAATGGAAAATATTCTTATGTGTGATAGTATATTTTATTCAAATGATCTAATTAATATATATATATATATATATATATATATATATATATTATTTTAGTATAATAAAAACTATTAATGAAGTAGTCTAAATATTTTCTCTCGGTAGATAAAAATATGGCTCTATTTTAATAAATTAGATGTCTCTACAACAAATCATCGGCTATAGATTTTTATCTACTATAAAAATGATGATAATATCTACTTTTGAGTTGTGAACAAAAAAAATCAGAAAATTTCTAGTTTTGAGCCTGATTTTTTGTTTGTTATTAAATTCTTTATAATGTTACTTTATGAGTGGAAGATGCATTGAACTTGGGAATATAAGTTTTTGCATATTACAACTTACCTCGCACATATTCAATTATTTTGCTTTCTACTGTTAATGTTAAGCCGTTAAATCAACAGTATTTGTCTTTATAGAACAGAAAATTATATCAATATACAACAATATAGAATCAGAATTTGGAAAAGTAACTAATTCATTATTATACAACAATGTAAATCATGTGAATTAAAATATGGATGATAATGTAACAACCATACTAATTTAAATATATAATATAGGTTGAACACATTATAAGAAGTTCTAGGATAATATACTTTTTTAATATCATACTTATAAGGTTAGTCAAATTTTAAACATTGTCATTCATTTCTGAAGTCGTTAACTACAGTTCCGACTATCTGAGGAAAAGCCATTTAAAACGTTTCACATTGATGACACATAAAGAATCTTCCTGTGTTGCCTACCAATCTGAACACACTTGGTGTCACTGTCTAGAAACTGAAAATTTGCCATGTCTTCCTGTATTTGGATTATACAAAATAGATCAAAGTTATCTCGAATAATTCCAAGCTTATGGAAACTTAACATATTAATACATGTTTATAAATATGTTAACAGATAAACACAAAAAAAAAAGAAATCTAAAATAGAAAAATGATTTTTTTTATCTAAGTTAGGTTTCTGTTTCTATATCTCACATGTTAAACGGAATTATCTTTCAATATAAATAGAGTTCTCATGGAGAAGTGTTCTATATGATCTAAGCGAGAAGATCATAAAATCTAAGGGAGAATATTATCAGATCTAAGAGAGAAGATCATAAGATCTAAGAGAAACATATTAAGAGCTTTAGTTTTGAGAAGTTACTAGTAATAAGAAAACATGTTCTTATAATTCTTTGTGTTTTTTAGAGATCTGAATTGCTATCAGAGCCTCAAGTTGGAAACTCGATCTAAGCTTAAATTGAAACTAAGATCCTGGTGACTGTGAAGAACAGATCACGTACAAAAGATGGCAGACGTGACTAGGCTCCATGCACGAAGGACTTTGGATCCACATCCATCCAAGATCCTATGTTATCATCGACAAACTACACAGTTTAGTCGATGAGGATGGATGAGTTACTGCATGGAAATTTGTGTGGACCAATCAAACCACCAATTCCAGCTAATAACTGTGAGGTATTCGATCGATTCAAAAGGTTCAAGGAAAGCATTCAAAAACAAAACCTTTCGCACCGATCAAGGAGGAGATTTTACCTCAGTTGAGTTCAATCTTTTTTGTGAAGAAAATACATTTGAAGCTATGGTGGCCGAGTTGGAGTCTATAACAAGAAACAAGACATAGGAGCTTCGAGCTTGTGGATAGACCAGCTGGAGAAACTGGTCGGGTTAAAGTGGATTTAC